GCCTAGGGAAAGCCATTTATTTATTTTTATCTTTCCCACGCCGGGTCATATTGAAAGTGCATGATATCTGGCGTGGTGACTCCGCGGAAAAGGGAAAACCCCATTGTGAAGGAGCTCTGGCAAAAAAGGGAATTTATAACAGAGCTGCAAGAGGTAGGGGAAAAAAAAACGAGTTGCAAAGGCGCTTCCCTATTGGGGGTGCTTCAAAAAAACGTTGCTTTGTAACACTTCCGGAAAAAAAATGACGTAAAATAAAACGAACGTCAGTATGTTCAATACAAATGCACATAAGAATAATTCACGCTGTTTTTATTTTCCCTTTGACGACTTAAAAGTGTAGTCACGTAGAAGGGGAGAGGAGGATGCTCGCCGATTTGCGCATGTGTTGTCACATTGGAAAGAAAAGGCCGCCCCCAAAATGGAATGGTTATATCTGCTAAGTGTACCCTTTTCCCATTTAAAGGAAGGAGACGGAGAGGTCATAAAAACGTTAAGCTATCTCATCAGGTCAACATTCTTCCATTTGTTCCCCCCCCCATCTTCTGCGTAAAGTGTGACCCACGTGAACGTCCAAATGGACACAATTTAAAAGCAGGTCACCCACAATTAGGCATGATATAGGTTAAGAAAAATTTTGTCATTTTTTTTTTTTTTTTCCCATTCCATTGCATGAATTAAAACGCGAACAGTGTAACACACCATGGAGAATCCGCTTCGTATTCCCCCCCTCTCCTTCCCGCATTCAGATGGGTGACTTAAAATTTTACTCACTGGTAAACTTACCATCGTTTATTTAAACACGTGGAACCACTCCAGACATAAGCACGAATGGATCATTTGTTCCGACGCCGTCACATATATGTGAAAAAAAAAAGAAAAAATTTATGCACACATATGTAGGCGCGATCTCTACAGTGTAATTACATGGAAGGGGGAGGTATCCCATTATCGGCGTGCCTATCGTTAGCCGCTTCGTTGTGCCATTTGGGTTTCGTTCCTGTGCCAAGGGGATGATTTGATGTCCCATTTGCGCGAGGGTCATCTGTGTAACGTCGACTTCTGTCCAGGTCAAGTTGAATCCACCCCATTTTGTAAAAACATCGTAGAGGTGTAAAAGTCACGAGAAAGGAATGTTTTTTTTTTTCTTTTTTATTCCCCTTCTAACGTCCCCTCCGTTGTTGTTGCCCGTCCGTTTTAATTTAACCCTCCACCACAACTGCGCATACAACTTTATGTTAACCTGCGTGTGATGTAGACACCTCCGCACTGCCAATAAAAAAAAAAAAAATAAATAACAATAATAGTCATAATAATAATCGTAATAATATTTCCAAAATGAGAGAGGTGGAGAAGCCCCCCAAGGAAATAAGGCAGCTGCTACCCGTAATGGTATGAACACATTTTTCTCAGCTGTGCAATCCATCCGATCAGTGATGCCCACACGCACGTTCTCGTGTCTCTGTCCCTGCATGGACAGGCGTGCACATTTCACTTCCCCCACGCGATCCATTCAGCTCATAGGCCTAGTAACCCTCGTCATGTACTCAATATTTGTCACGGTAAAGACGGTCCGGGGGGAGCTGCAACCATGAGTCTGTAGCGTCAGGCCCATGAGAACAAGCCTCCTCTGCCAAGACACCTACCTACATGGCCGAAAAACTCCACTTCGCCCCTTCCCCCCCCAGTTCTACTGCATGGTTCTACTCCAAATAAATGTCCAGAAGCAGTACGTGGACACCGACCTGCTGAATGAGGGATACACCAAACTGCTAACCTGTAAGGGGTACACGCACCCACCTATGAGTGGAACCATGTCTTTGTGCTTTATCTTTACATAGGATTGATTAACCCATCGGAGGTTGCCCCTCACCTGTAACACTCTACATCTATAATTGATACCCCTTCACATCTTTTCCAGTCCACGTTTTGCTATTCCTCTTTATCTGGTCCTTTTACAAAACGTACACGGTGGACCCTGGTAGCATCCCCAGTGAGTATACCTTGGAATTAGAGCGACAGAGATGAAAGCCCATATGTTCCCATTACAGTCACGTTGGATAAACATGTGGATGTGGTCCTGCTATACACATGAATGAGGTTGCCTCAATAGTGGCACCGCAAACCCTATCATCATAGTGCTAAGGATCTGAAAATGTTTTCTGCCCCCCTCTCCGCTTTTCTATTGCGTAAAAGACACCCATGAGTGGACCATCGAGCCGGACGTCAGCAGGATAAAGGAGCGAGGACAAAATGGTAATCCGTCGCCATAGCGCTTTCATAACCACGTTGCTGATTTATCGCCACGATGCTGATTGGTAACCACTTCGCCGATTCATCATGTGGGAATCTATACAACTGGGTTGCTTCACCGACGTGTGGCATTATGTATGGATTTATCGCTCTGTTTGTATGTCCCTTCCCCCCTTTAGGAGAGCTCCGCTACTGCACACACGAGAAGAAGTACAAGCCAGACCGGGCCCACTACTGCAGGTGAGTTGTGCGACGCCAAGAGGCGGGGGGAAGATACCAAAGCGATGATACAGACGTGAAGAATTGGACCTATTTCTATGCACACACCTCTCTCTATGTGCCTCCCCTCACCCACCACAGGGCAACCAAAAGGAATATCCTCAAAATGGACCACTACTGTCCTTGGGTGAGGAAAGTTTACTCTCCTCAGAGGGGCACCTCGATTAGCAGAATTGGCATTATCATCTGTTGAGTCGCATCAGCAGAGATCACTCCGGATGTCTAAACAAAATTAGAGAACAATATAAAACAACAGAATAGCGAGGTAGTAACGTGTAAGCTTCTCTAACTAATGCACAGATTTTCTTATGTATGCATGTCCCTGTCTTCCTCCCCCCCTTGCAGGTCGCTAATGGCGTGGGTCACTACAACTACAAATTTTTCCTGTTAAGCCTTTTCTATGCGAACATGTGCTGCCTATATGTGGAAGTTAACTGCCACTCGTCCTTTCCTGACTTGTATGCAAACCCGAACGTCCTTTTTAACGAAGTTTTTTACATCTTTCTGGAGATCGTCCTTGCTGCCGTCATCCTGCTGTAATGTTTTCTCATTTGTGAGGTGGCCCCCACGGGGAGGAGACTCAAAGAGGGGGACAAGTCGAAAAAAAAAGGAGAAAAGGAGAAAATAAGAAAAAAAAAGATGAAAAAAAAAAAAAAAAAAAAGTCACCCCTTGCGGGGTATCCACTTGGGATAATCTGACCAGACACATTTGCCTAATCCACACGGGGGAGTCTTTCCCCTACGGAATTCACCTCACCATCATTTTAACTTTTTTTTTTCTTTTTCCCCCCCACACGTTTGTAGAATTATCTTCCCCTTCTTCCTGTTCCATCTATATCTGACTGCCCACAATTATACGACCCTCGAGTTTTGTGTGGTGGGACATTTACTCCCTCCCCTACCGCATGGATTATTGATATGGGAGGAGAGGAAGCCCTCTTCACTCTTAGCGAAATGAGCATGTCCTGATTCGTTTAGATGTGATCATGTCTTTAGATGCAGCTCCTCACCAACAGCGCAGTTCTGCATTAACACCACTGCTTTGCATTAACATGCCCCTTTCAGATTGGGAAGAGAGACAAGCAGAGCATGTACGACTTGGGCGTGGAGGAGAATTTCAATCAAGTTTTGGTGAGTTGAAAAAAAAAAAAAAAAAAAAAATACGAGAACGGAAGGACAAGAGATCACACCCCTCCTTCCGATGAAGTTACTCCATGGTGGAGGATCTTCCCCAGCGAGAACACACCAACGTGTGGTGACAATCCTCCCTTTTGTGCACACTTCAGGGAGACAACCTTCTTCTGTGGCTGCTGCCCGTCGGGGGCCCCAAAGGCGACGGATTATTTTACCAGACCTCTGTTCAGCGGGGCTAGGAGGTGAAGCGGTGGAGTGGTGAAGCGGCGGAGCGGTGCAGCGACGAGGTGGAGAGGTTCACTTCAGATGACGCACCGCTTGCTGGGTGATGGAAGCCCTCTCCCGCGAGTCCCGAACTACATCGTCCCCCACCGATGCGCAAGTGAGAACATATAAAGAATGTATTATACATTCGCTTGGCTGACCATAGGGGTGCCACTCTCTAACGAACGCACCTGCCACTCTTCACTTTTTAATGGCACCCTCCCACCCGCAGATGATGAGTGGAGAGTGCCACCAACCTTTCGCGTCCTACATATGCCGCTACACCAATTGGCCATTACAGGAATTGATCATTACAGCAATTGATCATTACAGCAATTGACCGCTGCACCATCTGACCGCTGCACCAATTGACCGCTGCACCATCTGACCGCTGCACCAATTGACCGCTGCACCATCTGACCGCTGCACCAATTGACCGCTGCACCAATTGACCGCTGCACCAATTGACCG